GTCTGTACTTAACTATGTATTTCACTAAAAAATGCAACATTTTAACTCGGTTTTTGGTAGATTTTTACGTGACTAACATAAGGCTACTGTGGAAGTGCCCATTTCGGTTACAACGACATTCGTTTATAACGACACTATTTTTAGGTCCCTTTGATGACGTTATAACCAAGTTCTACTGTATATATAGTAATGTAACAGGTTGCTTATATACAGGATTGACAATACAAATTATAAGTATATAAGAAGTATTGTTATACTCTGAATAATGTAGGACAGTTTGTAAAAATAGAATAGCTTCAGGCTAAGCATCGGCTACTGACACATACTTACTTACTCATGGAACTGAGCCCTTCTGGAGGAGCCACCAATTCTGCAGCTGCTCAAGAATTTCTCAGCATTTTATGGAACCTGAAGGTTCATTACCGTATTCACAAGAGCCCTCCACTGGTCCCTATCCTGAGCCAGATCAATCCAATCTATACCATCCCATCCTCTCTCTCTCTAAGATCCATTTTAATATTGTCCACCCACCTACTTGGCCTTCGCCAGTGGTCTCTTTCCTTCTGGCTTTCCCACCAATATCCTATACACATTTCTTGTCTCCCCCATTCGTGCTACATGCCCTGCCCACCTCATCCTCCTTGACTTGATTGTTCTAATTTTACTTGGAGAAGAGTACAAGTTATGAACCTCCTCATTGTGCAGTTTCCTCCAACCTCCTGTCACTTCATCTCTCTTCGGTCCAAATATTCTCCTCAACATCCTGTTCTCAAACACCCTCAGTCTGTGTTCCTCCCTTATTGTCAGAGACCAAGTTTGACACCCATAGAGAACCACAGGCAAAATTATAATTTTGTATATTCTAACTTTTATGTTCTTGGACAGCGGACAAGAAGACAAAAGGTTCTGGACTGAATGGTAGCATCAGCTACTGACAGATATCAAGAAATAAATGAGCTACTACAAGCTTCTAAATCAGGTGGCATGTCACAAAAACCACTGCCCTCACTGCCTAGTTCAAGAAGCACAAAAGAAGAAATCTGCCTTTACATTATATTAACTTTCTTCTTGAACAACATAGTGCAAGGTCCATATTGGGTTTCAGAAACAAACTGATACATGATACATGCTTTTCCTTTAGTAACTGATAGTTGTTCACATGGTCGAGGTATTATCAGTAAAGGTTTGTCATCATATCACCAAAAGCATATCATTAGTCCTTAATCTGAGTCCAGTCCAGCTTGTTCACAGGATATTTCTCTAAAATCCATTTTGATGCTGCTGTCCTGTCTTCTTCACATTCTGGAGGTCTCAGTCCGGAGACTTCAGTCTTTTGTAGTTTTCCCCAGTCCCTCCAGGCAAGTTCTTGGATAATATTTTCATTTTGGCCACAACCGCTTCCTTTCACAGCCTTTCCAGTTCATTATTTGCTAACCATTCTAGCATTGGATGCTATAGAGCTTAGTCTGTTACCATAAACAAAGCAAGTATTCCTTCACATAGCCTACAAAGTGGTCCCACATCTTCAGATTAACTAACCAGCCCAAGGAGCTGAGTCCATTTTGAGAAGCCACCAGTTGCTCAGTTACTCAAGAATTTGCCAACATTTCATGAAGCCCAAAGGTGCATTACCATGTTCACAAGAACCTACCACTGGTCCCTATCCTGAGCCAGATCAATCCAGTCCACACCACCCCATCCTGTTTCTCGTAGTTCCATTTTGATATCCTCCCACATACATCTTGGTCTTCTAGTTTTCTCTTTCCTTCTGGCTTTCCCACCAAAACCCAGCATGCATTCACTTTCCCCACATGCATGCTACATGCCCTGCCCATCTCATCCTTATTGACATGATCATTCTAATTATCCTCTGGACGTTATGCAGCCACAGTTTGGTATGCATTTTTGCTCCATCTATGTCCTATCCATTTTATCCATCTTGGTTTATTCATATCTAGAATATTTGGAGGTGGCTGGACAGAGTAAGTATAGGTATGGGAAGGAATGATGCGACACTTCAAACAAGGGAAAGAAAAGACAAGAAGGGGAATTCTCATCTCACCCCTGACTCTCACAAGAGGAATTAACAGATAAGGAGTACAAAGTCTGAAACTCATTGTTATGTATTTGTCTCCATTATCTATGTCACTTTATGTTTCCTAGGTCTGCATATTCTCATCAGCACTTTGTTGCTTAGTACCCACACAGTTCGTTCTCTCCTCATAGCAAAAGACCAAATTTCAAAAGAACTGCAACCATCAATATCTTTCATATTAAATTCAGAGTGAAAAATAAAAAATTTTAAAAATATAATATATAGGTTATGACTGATCATTCTAAAAATAATTTTGAGTCTTTTTCCATCAGGGACGCCCATACTTACAATTGCTGTGTACTGGACGTTTGGTGGTATTTACACGCTACTGGACATTACAAACAAACCCGCTATCTTGCGCAAGTATAAGATTCAGCCTGGAACAAATGAACCAGTTGACCCAAAACGCCTGATGCAGGCAAGTACTTAATGCCTTTTTCTAAGGCATGTTTATTTTAACACTAGTGTGATGTCCATTGAAATTGTTATAGTAGATCTTTTATAAGTCTCAATGCCTTCGTCTTTGTTGCATATTTTTGGTTATCTCTTTCATTTGTAAATTCTGTTACTGTTATTCCTACACTTCCTTTGTATCTCCTTACATTAAAACAGTTTCAGCAAGTATTATTCTGAAATTGATGTAAACATTCGTACTTTATCTCCTTTCCTCCCTGCTCCCACAATCCTTGCTTTTCCCTTTCATTTGTCCACCCTTTTGTCATTATGCTTCCCTTTCTTTCCTGTGCCTCTTCTCCATTACAACAGTTCTGCAAGTACAAAGGCAAATCGAAAAGTCTTTGCCCCTATTTTTTTTCTGCCACAATAATACACATACAGGGAAATCAAAATACATGCAATGTTCCAAGTACCTTTGACTATTTTTCCACATAGTCACCAACCCGATTCAGACATCTGTCCCATTGCACCACTAGTTTGGAGGTTGTAGAATTTGGCCGGTTGAGCGAGGAACCACCGCCGGACAGCGGTTTTTGCATCGTTGGAAATTAACCTTTGGTCTACCAGGAACTTCTTCAGTGGACCGAACACGTGGTAATCACTGGGGGCGAGGTCTGGACTCTACGGTGCATGCTCCATAATCTACCATCCGAATGACTGCAGTCGGGTGGCAGTCCTGTTTGCCACATGTAGCCTGGCGTCATGAAGTAGAACCAGATTGTCCACGAGAATCCCCGGGCGCAACTGCAGTCATTCGGATTGGAGATTATGGAGCATGCACCATATAGTCCAGACGTCGCCCGCAGTGATTACCACGTGTTCGGTCCACTGAAGAAGTTACAGGCAAGCCAGAGGTTCATTTCTGACAACGCAAAAACCGCTGTCTGGCAGTGGTCCCGCGCTCAACCGGCCAAATTCTGCAACACTGGCTTCTCCAAATTAGTGGTCCGATGGGACAAATGCCTGAACCAGGGTGGTGACTATGTGGAAAAATAGTCAAAGGTACTTAGAACACTGCCTGTATTTTGATTTCTCTGTATGTGTATTATTGTGGCTGAAAACAAATATGGGCAAAGACTTTTTGATTTTCCCTCATATCTCTCGAAACATGTCATTACAGAACAGCAATAAAAATACTAACTGTGATACATACTATGTTATTTCAGCCTTTCCTCTGGTCTGTGAGCACAAGCAAACTCTTTTGTGCCCACAGCAAAAGAAACAAACTCCGAGGTATGTAGTCTACAACCTTAGAATCCCCACAGCCATTAATTTTCGGTTTTCTAGACCGGCGCCACTGTTTCCTTGAAATAGCTCCTCAATTATCCTCACGAGGCTGAGTGGACATCGTTCCAGACCCACTACTTCTCAGAAAATCTGGTAGCACTGGGAATCAAACCCAGGAGCTCTGACCACTGGACCACAGTGGCAGTCCTTCTTTGCCTACTGTTTTTATAATTATACATACCAAAAGATATGTTTTATTGAACAATACATCAAAGCTGTTCAGACAGTTAATGTCATATGTCAGGCATTGAGGGTAACTGTGTCATCTGTGCGTTTAAGAAAACATACGTACACCAAACTGGATTTTATATCTAAGATTTTTATGGATTATGAGAACATAAGTCATGGCCATGTATGGTTATCTCTGATATGTCCAACGTTGTTTGTGTGTTTGCACTTGTGACTGCAAGTTGTCAGAATATCAGGTTCTGTAATCTGGCCAAACATTGCTACTGGATAGCCAGCTTTGCTGCTTTGTATTCAGGAGACCTGTGGTTCAATTCTTGGCCCAAATACTGACCGTTGTGACCGAATCTCTAGGTGACTATTAGAATAATACCTTCAAGTTCATCTGTTTAAAATCTTCATTGTCCGTCCAAAATCTGCATAGTTGAAAAAGGTCCTAACATAACTTAGTGTTTAGTCATTTGATTAACAGCAGTGCACAGTGGACAGGTGACAGTCAGTAGTAGTCTTGCTACTCGCTTCTTCAGCCATGAACTCGAGTAAGTGGTACACTCATGAAGATTACATAAACAATATTCTTAGGACTGAACATTGTCATCACGTTGATAGCACTCCTGCTTCATGTGTGGAACATCCTTGTTTCAAATCTTGGACAGGAACCTTCCTCTCCCAACTGAAGCTTTTCCTCAGTCCCATCAGACAAATGCCAAGTTACCGTCTCATCAGGCCATGGCTGCTTCTTTCCATATCCAGTTTAATTTGTTATTCTCTGATCAACGTACCAATCAATGTTATATTCTTTGTGCTTAAGTAACACATACATAAATAAATTAATAAAATAAAGACATTTTATTGCTTAATTATGACCGTCTCTGTGGTCTAGTGGTCAGAGTTCCTGGCTACAGATCCAGAGGTCCAGGTTCGATTCCCGGTGCTAACGGATTTTATGAGAAGTAGTGGGTCTGGAACGGGGTCAACTCAGCCTCATGAGGATAATTGAGGAGCTATTTCAAGGAAATAGCGGCTTCAGTCTAGAAAACCGAAATTAACAGCTCTGGGGATTCGTTGCGCTGACCACACAACACCCTCTATCCACTAAAAGTTGGCACTAACTTCTCCAACTAACGGCAGTTGCTTGGTCGGTATAGTTCTCTTGCGGACTAAAACCACAGTTTGTTTGTTTTATTGCTTAATTATTGATGTTTTGAGCAATTATCACAAATTTCTAAATCATGTACCACTTGCAAGTTGAGATTTCAGAAAACCCTGTATGTTCCAGGTGATAGGATGGGTGCTTATCAACCAGGCTGTTGTTGGTTTACCAGTCGCATATGTGTCATACTTAATGATGAAGTGGAGGGGCTCTCCCCCATTGAGAGAGTTACCTACATTCCATTGGGTTCTTGCTGAGATGGCTGTGCACATACTTATGGAAGAGATTGGCTTCTACTATTCTCACAGGTATCGCTTGTCTTCATGTAAGCTTCTAAGCTTGGTCACACTGTACACACAGCTGTCTGTTGCCTGCTCCTCCTCTGCCGAAGAGTTGTGACACCATAAACAGTAGCACCAGATTCAAGTTTCTTGTCAAGTGTGGTGCCTTCTAATTTGCTCCCATTACTGACCTTACTCATACCTTGTAGATAGAGGCAGCAAGTTCCTCCAAAATGTGGTAACAATCTATCAGACGACCCTGAACATTGCTAAATTTCTACTGAACTACACAGTATTACATTCCAGAAGACAGCATCCTTCAGAAGGTTGCAGGGTTAACACAAAGACCATTATATACACGTGTATGTTAAAAGTTGTGTGCCAATTCTGTCTGATGATGTATCTGCTACCACAGTATGTAACCAGGTTTGTGTTGCAGGGTACTTCATAGTCGCTACCTGTATCGCTTCATTCACAAGAGGCATCACGAATGGACGGCTCCGATTGCCGTGACAGCAATGTACTGCCATCCAATTGAGAGCATATTCTCAAATATGCTGCCTATCTTCCTTGGAGTGTTCATCATGGGATCACATGTGGCCACTGCATGGCTGTGGTTCTCATTGGCAATCTTGTCTACCCTCAACGCCCATTCAGGCTACCATCTACCATTTCTTCCATCACCTGAATTTCATGATTTCCACCATCTGAAGTGAGTCATACATATGAACCATTTATTGTCATTCTAACTACATGCCTAGCGGCCTCCGTAGTCTAGAGGTAACGTTCCCACCTCATGACTCGTAGTACGCGGGTTCAAATACCTGGCGGAGGTCGTCAAATTTTTAAGGGTGGAAATATTCAGGGAACAAGTCCTCCGGGAGGGACTTTAAGCCGTGGGTCCCGTGTCATAGCTTTACGGCACGTAAAAGAACCTCATATCTCCAAAGGAGGTCACTGAGCCAAATTACAGATGTTTCCCGCCCAACAGCAGTCTCTAATACCTCCGGTAGATGGGGGAAGCATTATAGATACCTCTCAGCTAGTAGAGCCGGTCTCGCTGGCTGGGCGGGACTGATGGTAAGCACCAGTACCGGTAAGATATAGAGAGTGGTAGAAATCATAGAGGGAAGCACAATGGACCAATACAGGTCTAAGTGCATGGGGAACCCCACCGTCTCCAGTAACTAACTAACTACATACCTGGGCTGTCCCTATTGTAACTACATAGTGTAGTGTTTACCATAAAACTCTGTTATGGATGGAACCGTTCTGCCATGTGTTGTGAATGAAAACGTTCTGTTAAATAATAGACTTCTTTATGTAGAACTCAGGCAATAGAATGTAGACTGTAGTAAATTAATGTATTAGATATTAACTGACTTTTAAGAACAAAAGAATAATGTTACTATTGGGACATACACACACACGGCATGCTGATTTTGTAAGCCCAATTCTTCTTTGATAAGGAAGGAAAGTAGGCTAAAAGCGTGGTTTAATGGTTTCTTTTGTGCTTTGATTTTACAACACTTTCACTACTGCAGAACATATATAGCTTAGGATAATAGATGAATGATGAACTGGAAGGGATTCTGAAGGAAGCAGGTGTGGCCTGATTGAGGTTCTGGCCTATCAGTTGCCTGGAGGGACTTGAAGATGCCTAGTATCCCAACTGAGATTTGAACCAAGCATATTCTGAATGCGAGTCTTGAGAATTACTGCTAGACCTGCCTGTTGGTGTTAACTTGCTTGATTAGTAATCTGTGCAATTTGTTGTTATTATCTTCAACAGATTCAACCAATGCTTTGGCGTGCTGGGTGTACTTGACCGCATCCATGGGACAGATACTTCGTTCCGCAGTACTACAGCGTATGCACGCCATGTGATGATGCTCAACTTCACTCCCCCTCGTGAAGCGTTCCCCGATGAAAGCAAATGTAAAGCTAAGTAGTTAAGGTCAGTCTTCCCAGGACATTATCATTACATTCTGTACTTTTTATTCTGATCTTGTACTTTCTCATGTAAGTAAAGAAGGAGCGGCCACGCCATAGCTCAAGCGGTTAGTCGCTGGCTTCCCACCCTGAGTTCAATCCCTGGTCTGGTCAAGTGGGATTTGTGGTGGACAAAGTGGCGCTGGGGCAGGTTTTCTCTGAGTACTTCGGTTTCCCCTGCCAATCTTCATTCCACCAATTGCTCCACAATCACCCTCACCTATCATCTGGGGCTGGTACAATAGGCCAGAATTGGCCGCAGTACAAGGGACTTAGCCCCACCCTACTAGCAATAAAAAGAAAGTAAAGAAGGAGCTGAGACATTCCCAGAGGTTCCTGCCCAATTTTAATTTGTTACCTGCTGTGTGGATTTGAATGGGAATTTGTCCTCTATACTTAATGCTTTTACTGCCTGGTAAATTTATTCTTTAAACAGCAGTGAGCTTATGTGCAGCAATAACATTGACTGCTTGATGTTACTGAACATTAGTTGCCTGAGCAACATTGAGCCAGGCTAGCACAGTCAGTATAGCAACTGGCTACGGGCTAGACAACCAAGGGGTTGGAGTTCCGAGTCCCAGTGGGGGCAAGAATTTTCTCTTCTCCAAATCGTCCAGACCAGCTCTGGGGTCCACCCAACCTCCTATCCAATGGGTACCAGGGGCTCTTTCCCCAGGGGTAAAACAATCGTGGCATGAAGCTGACCATTCACCTCCAACTAGTGTCAAGGTCAAGAAAATGTGGATCTATACATCCAGTTCCCCATACGCCTTCATAGTATAGTGCTTAATTAGTTAAGCACAGGGACAACTTTATCTTTACCATTCCCAAGCTTGACTGATGATCACTGCTAGTTCCTAGACATTGATACCAGTCAGTACAAATAGTCTTAAACATAAGTCTTTAAGGAAATTATATGACTGTTCCCCTCAGAAGAAATTATTGTGTTAATTTTCACTTTAGTTTCTCTTTACAGGAACTGATGAGACTGCAACTGAATGGACAGGGTGTTTTGTAACGCAGGAAATGAACTATATGTAAAAACTTGTGTGTCCCTCTCTGCAGGACTGTGACATACTTGGCATTTCTTGGAGCATCCAATACTATTTACTGTAATGGAAGGGAATGCAGGTTTTTAAATAAATTTCAGTACTACACTGAGGTTTACTTCTTATTTAGCTGTGGTAAGACTATGGTTGCTACATTACTTGGCAAGTAGTTACGTGTAAATCTAAAAATGGAAGCGCTGGAGCATTCTGGAATTCATTTCCAGTTTGAAAGAAACAGACACCAATCATGACATGAAACTATTCTTGCTGTTACATAACAACAGCTTTACACTTTCAAAAAGAGAACTGAAATGGGCATACATAAACAGAGTGACAATTCAGCCTTGATGAGGTCAGAAATTAAACAAGACCAGCAATGCGCACATGTAGGACCATGCGTTATCTTACTCATCGGTCTAATGATGCTAAGTTATAAAAGCAAGTTACATGTATAAAATTCCAGCCATGACATGTTGCACCATCTGTCATCAGACACACAGATAAGTGTGGATACAAGCTGTCAAGTGACACCTCCATTGCCATTCCTGCACCTTCTTTGCAAATAACATAGAAGCATTGTTTAAGTGACCAGGAATAGATAATTTATGTTTCATGTTACTGATTTTAAAATAGGTGCAGAATGACACCTTGGCACCCAGAAAAGCACTGGGGCACTGCCCTTTGCTGCCATGGCTTGACCACATCCCTGCTAATTACTGCCTTTCAGGATAATGGGTGATTTAAAATGTAAGGGGCAATGATATGCGGAGATCTATTTAACGTGTTGATGGATGAGTGAGCACTGTCCATCATCTTAAATGCATTTAAAGTACACAGCATTTCAAAAGCTGGTTCCACTTCGGTAATAAGGTATAAATGAGGGGGAAAAGACCGTACTCAGTTGAGCCCATTAGAAGCTGGACTTGATCACTGCGCAATGAAGGAAGTTTTAAACAGCATGTATATTTTGTTACTGTCATATATCATATGTGGGAGAGAGAAATAAAAACAGCAATAAAATCAGTGAGGGGGGGTGCTTTTGTGTTACAGTTTTGATATCCTTATTTTCCATCAGCATTTGCATCATTGTTAACTTGACAAGCACATGGTCCAGCTGATCGAGCTTTCCATTTTCTCAGTTTGACCTGTCATTATGCCTTGTAACAAAACACTGTCAGAACATCAGTGTAGTACGAAGATTTGCTAGGAGAGATGTTGTTTACACTGTAAATATATTGCTTACAGCCAAGATATATATACAATATAGTATGTTGACTGTGAAAGGTTTATATGTATTTTAATGTTATATTTTATTATAGTTATTTACTTATGAGATTATGTAAATACAGTGTACCCTTGCCTTATGGACATTGTGTGGAATTTTGGCATAATTTAAGAAATTCAGATCACACTATTCATGCATCAGTGATGTGATGTATAGGGATGGCTTTTGGTGAGGTTTCTATTCATATCTTAATTTAGAGTGTGCAGTGATGCCCATATTTAACATGTTTTATATATGTATTATTATTTCTGGTGGGGTAATACAGTGATTTTATTGTAGCTCTGACCTGGAAGATTTTCTGTAGGAATTCATCTGTGAGGTTCATGTTATGGCATTTCATGATACAGACATTTACTTTTAAAAACACGTCCCTTCCATAATTTGGGGGCATGCTGTGTTAGTCTGTAATTTCTATGTTTTATAAATATTTCTTTGTATTTTTTATGGTATAGTTTGCTGTGTTTAATAAATATTTCTTTACAAAATATTTGAATGCTTGTGGTCATATAACATTATATACATATAAAAGCATTGAAACGTATTTTGGGTCAGTTTGAGAAGTAAAATAAATGTCATAGCTTTTTGTCTAAAATATGTAATTCAAAAATTCTGAGATGTATGTTCCAGATAGTAAAGATGGTACAAGTGATTTCTTGAAGACATGGAGACAGTATCTTACAGAGCTTCCCGGACCTTTGTAGTTATGTCTTATTAACTCACATGTTACCTATAAAAATATGGTACACCTCACTTATTGTACATGTGTAACTGAGAATCATGTTTCTGGATTCTCATAGAATTTCATTGTACAGACACAAACCACAATATAATTTGCCAAAATCCATTCCATGCCAAATGCTGTTCTTTAAGTGGCATTGGAACAGTTTTCCCTTGCCAGTCATCGTTCTACCATTGCTCCATACATGATAGTCCAGACCAGGAAACGCATTAAAACATTCTTAGTCTTTAAAAGATGGGTTGTTCATCTCTGACACAGCATTTTGCTGTTCACAGATTAAGGAAGTCAAGGTTTTTAACGTGGTCTTGAAAAAATTAAGGAACTTCTTTGTGGTTCTCATAAAATATTAAGCACTGTAGCCTCATGCAACACATGTCAATATACTCCTGGGAATATTTGTGTACTGAAGTGTGCTGAATCTTCCTCCTTTCATAAGTTGCTTCCCCTGAACTCACCAAAGAATTTAATATGCCCATCACAATCGTTTTTGGATATGTAGGATATAGTACAGTAAAACTTGGTTATAGCAACATCGGTTTCTGCGACACCTTGTCTATTGCGTCAAATATTCAATGGTACGAACTAATTCCTCATAAAGCAACTGTTTTTATACCTTGCTTAGTACGACATGCACAAATGCATCAACCTCGTATGTAACATCATTTCCATTCCTGAATTTCTCTGATATGGACATTGAACGTAATTTAGAAAGTGTGTATTGGGCAAGTAACAGGAAACAGATGAAGATAACTGATTACTGTACTCGTATCTAGGTACAGTAAGGCACAACAATTGATGTAATCTACTGTAATTTGGTGAGTAGGCCTACCTTTAATATACAGTATTAGTGCGGTGTGTATTGTCAGTGAAAAGCGCTGTAATATGTCTTTGATATTAAACATTTGGGCAATTCCACGTTAATGTTACGTTAGTCTGTACTTAACTACGTATTTCACTAAAAAATGCAACATTTTAACTCGGTTTTTGGTAGATTTTTACGTGACTAACATAAGGCTACTGTGGAAGTGCCCATTTCGGTTACGACGACATTCGTTTATAACGACACTCTTTTTAGGTCCCTTTGATGACGTTATAACCAAGTTCTACTGTAATTCAGTTTCAGTTAAAAATTCCCTATAAATTAAATTTAAAATGTTTGGATGTTTGCATATTAGTAGATGGAGTTCTTGGAATATTGTTTTTCTTTTTTCAAGCAACAGAAAAATCTACAGGAAAGAGACCCAGTATAATGCTAACATGTTAATTCAATGGGCCATGTAAATTTGTTATCTTAACGAGGATATATCCCATAAATTATAAATCATTTATAAATATTTTTGACAGGCAATCTTTTCACTGTCTGTAATATTGCTTTTGATAATCAGTACTAAGATAAAACTGTGTCTTTTTGCTCTCCACGGTATAACAGTGTTTCAGTTCATTTAACTGTATGTCATAAGTCTTATGTATAGTTCCTATATACATAGTTGTTAAAATTATCCATTATATCATTATTATTATTATTATTATTATTATTATTGCATTTAGGCTAGTTAATCTGTTGTGTAAGTTTTAAATGATTGTTTACGATAAAACGGTTAGGACCCATGGTCAGTGAACTGTGGTCTTGATGTCAAAATGCAGGATTGGTACTCCCCCACAGTCAGAAGCTGAATGTTACTGAGTTACCACATGCATGAGAATAAGGCAGAGCATACTTGTGAGTTATGATACTGTGTAGTCCTGTATAGGTCTTTAACAACATTTTGGCATAACATACTACCTTAGTGTCCAGAACAAGGAATGTATGTGTATGTTCCTCTGAAACTTTGGAAACTGCCAATGAGACACTGACATAACCTATTAGATGACAATTTACGTTTTTATCACAATAGAAACCTAAAATCTCACAAGTACAGTTCAGGTTTATTCACCTGCATGTGTATTCAGTAATATGTAAGAAAGAAAAAATTTGTGTAATCTCTTTTATATTTGTAAATTATGTGATATAATCACTGCTTTTGGTTCAGGGTCGTATATGGGAGTGTGGATAGAGTGATGAAGGTAGCTGTAATTAAAGAGACAATGGGCATGGAAGAAGGTAAGAGAAAGGGAAATGGGCTCTAATCCTGGAATCCCATAGCCTAGAAACCTCCATAAGCTGATCGTATAAGAGGATATCATGTTTGTATGTTTTGTCGGCATGTTTCAGCTCAAAAAACACAGGATGGACTGCGATGGAATTTGATATTGAATTATGAAGACTTGTAGGACAATTTCAGTTTTAGTAAGATAAATATGTAATCATCAAAGCTGTTTGGAACAAGAATTCTGTCTTCTGGGATATAACGCCAGTGAAGTCCATTGAAAGTCAGCCAGTGATTCAGAGGAACATGTCACCTCCATGTTGGTTTCTTGCTTGGCATATTCTTTGACCCTTCACAGCATTATGTCCCAGACAATAGAACTTGACATAACCACTGCTGTGAGAATCTCAGATCATACCTATTCGGAGCAGGTAGGATCAATCAGAATGTGAACATGCAAAGAAAATGTTGAAGCTGTGTATGCTGTGGTATAGATTGCAGCTTTCCAGTCCTGTAACTTTCCTGAGAAAAGTAATGTTATTCAGTTGTACAGCAAAGGTGAAGAGTTAATGATTTGTATGGACTCCAATCCTGCAACTATATTGGTTGTCAGTCTGATACCTGTCTAATATTTGGATGTTCATTCATGGCATGTTCCCTTGACATACACTTTCTTTTAACCAACTGGTTTTGAAAAAATATGAAAGGTGCTGCTTATTTTCCAGCTAGTCGGGTGTTATTTTTGTTCATGGATTTAACGCTTCCCTTGTTATAAATGATTTTGTGCTCGTATTATCATTGAAAAGTCCTGCCATCTCTTGACACTGTTAGCCAACTGTCTGTAGCATTCCATAACCTGCTTTACTATAACAAACTCAAAGAATGGAAATTATTCATAATACAGAATCTTCCAAAGAAAACTCAGTTTATTTGTACAGTGTAAAATGATTTATCATTAATGTATGAAATGTATAGATGTTGCATAGGAAGACATAACTTTGATTTTTGCTGTGGTGTTCTGAGCTTCAAGTATTGATACTTTATTTGCTTGTACCATTGGTCTGCTTAATTGCCTCTGGTGATATAAGTGTTAGGGCCATTGTCAACATTTTAACCCAACAAAGAGCATATCTTAACATGTGGCATTAATTTTAATAACAATACATCTACTAAATAACAGTGCTTGTTGTTGATTAATCTTATAATTATTCAACCCTCCTCCTTATCCTAAAAACCATTTTCATAAAATAATTTGAAATTAATATTTATACAGATACTCCATTATTCATCTATTCTAGCAAGACATATGGAAATTAAACAGACTGAATAAGGAATGTAACAATCAGAAATTGGCGTTTCATGGATGAAAAGTTGCAATGATTGGGACGTAATAAAACTGAATATAATAGATGGCACTGTAGGGGTTTGGAATTATAGGTTAAAAGGTAAAAGATTCAAAGGACAGCTCAAATCAAGATGGCTTACCCATGTGAGTGATGATATAACAAGTAGGGCTCAAGCAAAAATGATAAAACTAGGAGTGCAGATATATTTTCAGATTTCTCATGCATCATCTCACCACGTACTGAAAACTCCACTAGAATCTCAGGAGACCAGACTAAGATGGCTTAGTCAAGTGGCTGATAATATTAAAAATGGAGAAACTGGGGAAAGCCAAACATAGTTGGATGATTTTCATCCACCCCTTAATGGAATCAACACCAGCAAAAGAGGGACAAGGTACCTTTAAGGGAAATTAAATGTTTAGAGTGGCTTCAAACCAGCAGAATCATGTGTAAGGTAAAGTTGTCCCTGTACTTAACTGATTAAACACTGTCCCATGAAAATAAATGGGGGAGTGGAGGTGTAGCCCCACAATTATTTACTTTGTCACCAAATGGTGGCGCTGGGGCAGGTTTTCTCCGAGTACTTTGGTTTCCCCTGCCAATCTTCATTCCACCAATTGCTCCACAATCACCCTCACCTATCATCTGGGCCTAGTACAGTAGGCCAGAAGTGGCCACAGTACAAGGGACTTAGTTCCACCCCACTAAAATAAGTAAAGCTATCTCTGTAACAGGCCGTAAAGGCCCATAAGGTTGTGAGACATTGAGGGTCCCACATTATCTAGACAATAGACTCAAAGATGGCAGTAAGGTTGTCAGCCTTACGTGCCGGCTGCGCTTTACTCCCCAGGAAAATTATTTAAGTAATTCCTGGTACTCATTTCTGTTAGAGGCTGAGTCGACCCCAGGGCCATAGTGCAGCTGGAAGGAATAGGTCAATTGAAAAAATTCAGTGACCTCATTGGGACTTGAACCCTGGACCTTCCGGCTTGTAGCATAGTGCCTCAACCACTACACTACCTCTAGTAATAAATAAAAATTGGCACCAAATGGAAGTTAGTGGTCATTTACATGCCCCAGTTGCTTTACCTCTGGGAAAGAGCTCTGGTACACATCAGATAGGAAGTTGGGTGGACCCCAAGGTCTGTCTGAGCTCTGGTGTAGAGAAAAATCTTGCCCTTGCTGTGAATCAAACACTGGCCATCCAGCCAGAAGCCTGTCAATACTGACGGAGTATCCCAGCTCTCTTAATTATAACAGGCAACGATGATAATGATGAACTGTGGTTTGATGCCCCATATGATTTTGTAGATTTAATTCAAAGTAATCCAACTTTAAAGAAAAGGCTTGCAATTGGGACCTTCACCTCCAACCCAGCTATTTTTCTTGTTATCTCCCACTGAATTAGCCTGGTCTCAAGTGTTTAAATATGTCTAAATCTGACAGGTGTAGCCCAATGATTCGAACTAGCTCACTCTAAGGGGCAAAACTGAGTAGGGTGTCTTCTACCCCCTTCACCTGAGGACAGAAACATTCAGTTCTATTTTCTATTCTCTAGAATACTGGACAATGGAAAGAGTCCAAAAACCCAGTAATCTAGATGATCATTGTAAAATATTAGGGCTATATTCATCAAAAATAGTGCAATCAAGAAAAATTTGTTTGGAAAAACCATTGAATCTGTGGGGGGGGGATATGGTTAGCAGTGGAAAGTGTTGCTTATGTGCTTATGTGTGATATGTTTTATATCCAGCCCTAAGGGGGGATGATTGGATCCATGAAGTGAAAATAAATGTAAATGTAAATATTCAGTGCAAATTACATTGATGTGCATGAATGCACGGATCATACAACCTTAGACGGAACCATAGTCAAAACACAGTAAACTTGTACGTCAAATTACGGCGAAAAGAAGCTAATACGAATTTCTCATACAACTTTGAACGGAATGTATAGGAAAAGGAGAGGGGGGGCGTGAGAGAGGGAGTGTTGAGGTCGTTGAGGTTGTGGTAGGGTACGGTCAATTTGCTATGTAAGACATTCATTCGTCTCCGTCAAGCTGTAATGAATTGTAATTAGATGTCTACAAGAACTGAAGTGTAGAATACGTAATATAATCAAATAAGTAGTATAACAATCTTCCAGGTGCAAAGAGAAGTTCAGTCCAAAATATGTATTAATTTTTCACGGCAAAATATTGTGTTGTGCAAAAAGGAATTGTTCCCAAAGTTAGAAATGAGGAGTCGAAGTAATTCAGGTGTTAGGTTAGATTATTACCAAAGAATAGTTCACAAGATCATAATGAATCACCAGGTATGGTAAGATTTTTGTGTCATGCAATTGTATGTGTTTGTGAAAAGTGTCACTGAGGATAATAAAGGCCCCCCGTATTCTGTATAATCTGTACCCCCGTTAGCACGTTACCATTTAAAATACCTGTGTGATAGAATTTTTGATTCGCAGTGATTCTAGAAGTCAGTAATATATGTATACATACAAGTATTACATTGCATTCTCAGGATCTAGAGTTAGTAAAAAATGACCGTAGGATGTGGCATAAGTCATAACACAAAAATATACAACCGAATCCTTCACATAAAAAAAAAATACAGTGTACAGGAAGTTCGTTTAAGGTAGTCATGTGAAGCATATGAGAAGTTTAATGCTCCAACTGTCTTTATTACTAAGATAGAGCCCTTTTCTCCCTTAACACTTGTCAGATAGAGGGTCTGCTTACAAGGTTAATTTTTACTCTTCTTTCCTCCTATATCTTTCATGGATTAGACATGTTTCATTATAATAATCTTCTCCTGACTGATTTTCCTATATCTCTCTATGCCATTTAGCAATCTGTTATTATCCATTCTGTTCAAGTGGCTTAAGAAATTATGCTTTGTAGTCATGTGTTCTTTAAATTAGTAAAGATTTAGTTCCTGTGATTATTTCCCCTTTGAAACGAGGATATCTCAATCATAGTGACTAGCTGTGGGCTGGATGACAGGAGTCTGAGTTCAGTTCCTGACAAAGACAAGAGGCCTTTCTCTTTTCTACGACATCCATATCAGGTCTGGGGCCCACCCTGACTACTCACCTTCATCTGGTGCCAAGGTTGTTATGTGGAGCTATACCTCCATATCCCCACAGCTTATGATGTGTAACTTAACTAAATACAGGGACAACTTTACTTTACCTTTTACCTAGTACCAGCTTTATTAATATGTCTTAAATGTTCAGCTTATCACACAACATATTCATTAATATTGGTATGCTTTGTTGATCACTGTACTGTCAAGATTCAACACACAGTCACATCACACAAAAAGTAATTAATATTTGGAACTTATTCTGTCATTGAATTTTTATATAGCAGATCAAATATTTGTCTTTAAAAGACATGACTATGTTTTTGTTATATTGATATTTTTATATTACAAAAAGTATTCACGAAGGTTTCTGCAAGCTGAAAAGGAACGTCTCTTGAGCTTCCTGCAATTTCAGAAGGATTATAAAGAGAGAAGTATATATGGAACTGATGTTCTTACAGCAGTAACTATGAAGGATGCGATGTCCTGGGTTGTAACTCCACGTAGTTGGTAGAAGTCTGCCATTATGTTCGAGGAGTGTATTACCTCCATCTTCACAGTCGAAGAACAAGTCAAACAAGAACTGCTGCCTGCTCCTTGCTGGTGTGTTGCTTGGCTTACTTTTCACCCCCTGAAGTTGGAGGCGATATGTTGTCTGAAACATGAGTGCATTCTGCTGAACTGCACAGGAGTACAACCCAGAAGCCCATACACTGATATATATACAGGGTGTCCCAGGAGGAATGGACCAAACTTCGGGAGGGTGTTCCTTATGTTAAAGTATGCCGATATAACCCAAAACACCTATGTCCAAAGTTGAACGGTTACGGAGATAATGGCCAGAGAAGTGTGAAACTTTGACAGGTGTTACACACATGTTGATTACAAAATACATATTAAAACTGGCAGGAATATGTGGATTCTGTAATGTTAATAATGTACGTAACATCAAACTAACTTGTGAGTGACATGAAGCCATAAAATTGAAGTACAAAATACTCGCTCGCCATGTCATAATTGTCCTTAGAGTTTCCAAGCACTATACATGACACATGAATGGCAAGCGCTGACGTAACGTGGCTGACTGCGCGTTCTGATAAAGCCAACTACATATGTACGGCTAGGGTGAATCACGGCACTCAAGGACAAACATAGATAAGGCCTCTCAGCTGAGAGGTACAGTGCGTGGACCTGCCAGAAGACCACACTTTTCTTGGGCCATTATCTCCGTAACCGTTCAACTTTGGACATAGGTGTTTTGGGTTATATCAGCATACTTTAACATAAGGAACACCCTCCCGAAGTTTGGTCCATTCCTCCTGGGACATCCTGTATAAGGGATACCATTTGTTTTTATACCTTGTATCTTGTTTTCTTAACATTTCAGTGTAATGAAACTTATGGTACTCTTAGTTAATTCCAGGCTTCCTATGTTGACTGTAGTACCTCTCGATTCACTGAACATGTTTTAATTTCAGTTAATATTTTCTTTCCGCAGAACCCGGTAACAGGTCTGTTCCCAGCAAGCCCTCAGAACAATCATGCCTGGATCCGAGACAATGTTTACTGTATACTTGCTGTCTGGGGACTATCAATGGCTTACAAGAAGATAGCCGATATGGATGAGGACAGAGCTAAGACTTACGAATTAGAGCAGGCATGTAACTAACCCACTCCATGAAGTAGAGTCCTTCTTAACGCATTGCGGACCGGTTGTTTTTCTTTAGGGTGTGACAGGAAATGAGTGTGATCATGTTACTGGCTAAGCTAGCAAACATTCCCGAGGTCAACTACACAGTAGTTATGATGCAACGTGGCCACACAGCGAGATATAGTCGGTTTGCAACATAACGCGTCAGAAAAGGGCCAATTGGCCCGCCTGGTCCGCAACGCTATAGAAACATAGAGGGCCGATTGGCCCCTCCGGTCCTGAATGTGTTAAGAAGCTAACAGTTGCTCACAGAATCAAGAAATTACTAGCCTTTTTATGGTACCCAAAGGTTCATCACCATGTTCAAAAGAGCCATCCACTGGATCCAGTCCTGAGCCAGATGAATCCTGTCTGCATGCTCACACACTCCTCAGATCTGTCAAGACCAACATCAAATATACTTCTTTTGATTTTGTTCCGGTTTTTCTTCATTCCAGTGCAGAATACACACATGTTACATGTTCTTTAAATGTACGAATTTTCATGCACGTTAAAAGGATGTAAACTGAAGTGATATTAATGTTTTGAAGCATAAATGTCTTCTGACCAGTTCCTACCTTCAGAAAACACTTTGTATCACCATTATAAAGACTGATTGGTGATTGCTGTTTTGGGAGATAATTGCTGTCTATTCTGACAAAAAATACAGAAATACACACAGAACAAAATGTAGAGTTTTTATTATTATTATTATTATTATTCTATATAGTTGATGGTACATTTAGCAACCTCTGTGCTTAGAAGGGTTAAACCTTTCCTTTTACAGAAAAAGTCAAACAGTTAACAAGATAAATTGGAGTAGTTCATGTTATCAGAAGTAATCTGGGCACAAGGTTATGTCAGTGCTTGAAAAAAATATAGTGGCATGTAAAGAAACATGTTAATACTATCCTCTCATCTACACCTAGTTTTTCCAAATAGATTTTGGATTTTCCAGTCAAAATTTTCTCTTCATTTCTTGCCCCCCTCATGTGTACTATATACAAAAAATGATATACAGTAGTATGCCAATTATCTGAATTAATTAGTGACAAAGGTGGTTTGGATAATGGAAAATTCGGTTAATTGGATTAAATTAATATTCATGAAACAAACATTATTATAATGTACTGTAATATAATAAAAACTAAAAGGACTTCTTAAAAAGATGAAACATGAAAAATTAGTAACTTATTAATTAAATTATAAATTAACATTTTCACACACTTTATTTGATGGGGCATATGTTAGCATAGTTGGTTGAGACATTATGCTGCAAGCTGGAAGGTCACAGTTTCAAGTCCTGATGAGGTCATTGAATTTTTTCCAGTTTACCTAATCCTTCCAGCCACAATATGGCCCTCTGCTTCACTCAGCCTCTGACAGAAATGAGTACCAGGAATCTTCCTGGGGCGTAAAGGGCGGCCGGTGCATAAGGCTTACAACCTTACCATCACCTGTGAGCCGATTGTCTAGAAAATGTTGGAGCCTTATCATCTCACAACCCTATGGGCCTTCACAGCCTCTTACAGGGATAGCTTTGTGTGTCGTTTTTTTTTCTTGCCTTTAAACACTTTATTTGGAAAAGTCCAACAATGATGTTGGTTGAACAGATGCATTCCTTAGTTGCGATGGTTCAGTTAATTGGCAATTTGGATAATGGGGATTCAGATAATTGGTGTCTAATGTGTTGGTAATATACTGAGGAGCTCTGAAAGCCACCTTGTTGATTTCAGAGTTGTGTGAAGCTTATGAGGGGACTCCTGATGGCAATGATGCAGCAGAAGGATAAGGTGGAGAAATTCAAGTCGACACAGAATCCGCTGGATGCACTGCATGCAAAGTACAGCTCCTCCACTGGTCAAACTGTTGTAGGGGACGATGAGTGGGGGCATCTTCAGATTGATGCTGTTTCATTGTACCTCCTAGTACTGGCACAGATGACTGCTTCAGGTATGATGTTGCACTGTTTCATCTGTGAAGGAAAATATGCCTCAGCTTGAAGAGTACTGTGTACTGGGATGGATGCCATATTGTCTGGTAGAAGTTCGTTCATGTTTCAGAGGAATATGCCGTCTCTAACTTCAGGGTCACAGAATAAACAGAGCAAGCTTCAAGCAGAACTGTTTGCTTTGTTGTCCTTACTCTATTACCCTGAAGATGGAAACAATACATTCATCCAATCACATCTCAAGGGGGAGGGGATAAAGTGGCCAGGTCATGAAGGTGACCACTCACCTCCAACTAGTGCCAAGATCAAGGTTTCTAGGGGTTTTAAGGTTTTTTATTTAGCATTCCTAATTGCTACAACAGTAACACTTGAACAAGTGACATCATTCTTGAAATTTTTTTGCCCAAATGCCTAAAGGATTAGAATCTGTCAACAATAAATAATCACTCTTGACATGGTTAGGCCTACAATTAAAATATAACACACACTATCAAACCAAGATAAATAACAGTTAGGTAACAATACATAAATTGAAATATAAGTTGAATAAAAAAATGCCTATCATACTAGTTACGTTAAACTTATCAGTTTATCAAGACAATTTTAAGAGTGTTACAGTAAATCAGAAGTTCTACATATGTCCATGTCAATCACCAGTCACATTAAGATACTACAAGGACCCATTTGTTATATATTTCAATTGCTGAACAGAGGTCTTGCTGTGCTTACTACTATCCCTCTAAGACAGTGGTCTCCAAACTTTTCGAAATGCGGGCCACATTAGGTAATTCAGCACTTTCAATGTGCCGGATAAAATGAGAAATTAATAACTCTAGTAAACGTTCTGGAAACATCCTTTGTTGGCTGGGAGGGCTAACCGATAGCCGTACCACGCCGGCCATCGTAGAATGGACTAAAGTTCCGGTAGCCTTATCAACATTCCTCGCTACCAATTCTCGGAACAGTTAGATCAAAACTGGGCAGAAGTTGCCTTTAATACAAAAATGGTAATAAGTACGACACCGGCGGTGATGATAATCTGCTACAATTACACTGCACCACTGCAAGAAGTCTTGTGCACAAGACAGCTAGTAACGAACTGCTCGCGCTACCTACATTGCCACCAAGTGACACTGGCGATCGAGGCCGAACAAGTACGAAGAAATACCGTGCAGTATACGGTCCAGAATTAGTAAAATTTTGAATAATATTAATATTAACATAATATGGAATATCAATATATTTTAAACACAATCTTAATTAATGAATTTGAAATCTATGAACAAGTATTTTTTTTACCAGTACTCATTGGAAAATTAGTTCAATTGGCACATTTCTGCACAGTTCTTTCGCGGGCCGTATTTTGGAGATCCTTGCTCTAAGAGAAACTCATACAATGTATAGAATGGATGATCTAGTAAAAATACTTTCAGCTTATGTTTAAAGTCTTTACATCCATCTTATTTTCTTAGTTCAAAGGCAGAATGAGTGGTCCTGTACAGCCACTCAATCATACATTTTCATGGTGTAGTGCTTATTTAGTTAAGTACAGAGACAACTTTTACCTCTTTCATATAGATGGAATACTTACCATGTGGTACAGCAGATTTGTTTCTTGCAGGTCTTCAAATTGTGTTCAGTTTGGATGAAGTGTCATTCATTCAGAACCTCGTGTTCTATATTGAATCAGCATACTGTATACCTGTAAGTACAACAGAGAAGGGTGTTATTGTTTACTTAATGATGCTGTAACATACATGTCCTATGGCATGGCAAAGCGTTGAGTTGATTCAGAATGGTGGCAGTAAGGTCAGGTGTTTTGAAAAGTGAAACAAGAAGTAGTTACATATGACAGTTTCGTGGCAGTGACTGTGAAGAGAAGTATCCTCTGGGGTGCGACTCTCTGTAGTTTGGTATAAGTTAACAAATATTTTGGAGGAATGTTCTGCCTCCATCTTCCGGGTTGGAAAGTAAGTCAAACAAGTTGCAGCTAGCAAACAGACAGCGAGCCATGTGTGGAGAACCTATTTGCTACATTCTCCTTGGTTATTTACTTTTCATCCCTGAAGATGGAGGCAGCGTATTCTTCTGAAATGTTAGTAAACGTCTTGCGGAGTACATAGTGTCACAGTACCCTCCTAAACGGATACAGTTCATATCATATGACAATGTAAACACAAAAGTTTGTAACTTTTTAAAATTATTAGTACAATTTAAATGTATAATTGCTTTGCTCAAAGGAATTGTAAGGCTGCTTTTCTTTCATATTTCACAAAATCTGATGACATGGTTTATCACAATATAATTTTGGCAATATATGGAGGTAAGTTAGCTTCACAATTCAGCTAATTTTTCTGCCTGTGGCAAAGAGCCTGTGATGCACATATATGACTGGTTGGGCCTCAGAACTGGTCTGGATGTGGTGGTAAAGAGAAAAGTCTCTGCCCTGTTAAGGTTTGTACTGTGGTCACTCATTCTATAACCAGCCTGTTCATTGGCTAGGCTGTTGTAACTCACCACAACAGTAATTCTTGATTGCTGAGAATTTCTTAGTTCACTGACTCAGCAAGTCTGTATGAAATGTACAGATACTTTCAGATGTTTTCATAAAGGTGACAGAGCATTTACAGTTTGTTGCAACTATAGTATATAGCTCTCATCAGAAAGATTAAAAAGAGTTCTCGTAAGTGACACACTTGAATATCACAGCCAATTGATGGCTAAATGATTTTATGGTCTACATTAGTCCAAGATATCCCAGAAAAATGGCCTGAGGGTTAAGACAGAAGGCAAGAGGGGGTTCCCAAACTTTGTGATACTGCACGTCTGTAAAAAATACAAAAATCTGCATAAGCTCCACCTGCATTGCTGCTAGCCAATGAAAGATGCTGCTCTGCACACTGCTGCAGTTCCCCGTCAGGCTGTGTGGTGACAGTGGGAACCCAAATAGCTTTACAGACTCTCTGTGCCTACACTAGGAGTTGGGATAGCTCCATCGGTATAGTGACAGCCTATGAGCTGGATGGCCAGTGTTCAATTCCTAGCAAGGGAAAGATTTTTCTCTTCTCTACAACATCCTTACTGGCTATGAAGCCCACCCAGCCTCCTGTCCAGTGGGTAGTGGGGGGTTCTTTCCCCAGGGTAAAGAGGCTGGGGTCTGAAATTGACTACTGGCCTCCATCTAGTGCGGGAGTCAAGAATGGTGGTGCTTGATTAATTAAGCAAAGGGACAACTTTATCTTTACCTGCACCTATAGCAAGTCATAAATGTTCCTGTACAGTCACAAAAATCTTGTGATATATTTCATCAGTTGCAGGTTCCTTATGTTAAATCTTGCTGATCTGCATAAACTGTTGGCTACAAATACATATAATAATGCATAAGAGCTTGGCAACTCACACATCACAGCTCTCTGTTGGGTTCTAACCCATGGTTTGGATTAAAGATAACAACCTTGTTATTATTGGTACAGGACTATGGCATCTGGGAGCGTGGAGACAAGACAAATCATGGATTGCCAGAGCTAAATGCAAGCTCTATTGGAATGGCAAAAGCTGCCATGGAAGCAATGAACGAACTCGATTTGTTTGGAGCACGTGGTGGACCATCATCAATAATACATGTTCTGGCAGATGAGGCACAGAAATGCCAGGCAGTTTTGCAGGTACAAGCACCATGAGGTCTCCATCTCATTGTCCATGATTATTTAGCCGGGAAATTTGCTTACAGACTTACGGTTAAGCCATTTAAGACAATTTTTACTGACTGCTCTACAGAATTCAGGATAAATGAATAATTTTTTGAACACTTTGTATTTCAGTCAATGCTACCAAGGGAATCAAGTTCTAAGGAGTTAGACAGCGGTTTATTGTCTGTCATCAGTTTTCCTGCATTTGCAGTTGACGATCCTCAGTTGATCCAGCTCACAAGAGCAGCCATTGTATCAAAACTTCAAGGACGCTATGGTTGCAAAAGGTTTCTTCGTGATGGGCATAAGACACCAAAGGAGGTAATGCTTCATTGTTGTTTGTATGTAACCATGCCATAGCTCGAGCAGTTAGTGGCCTGGTATCCCATGTAAGGTAATGTGGGAGATGTGATAGACAAAGTGGCAGTGGAGTGTGTTTTCTCTGAGTACTTCAGTTTCCCCAACCAATTCTCCTTCCATCAGCTTCTCCACATTCATTAATCTTCCTACCATCCAGTACTATTTAGTCTCAATACTGATGCGATCAGAAAATAACCACCTTAAAAGACTAGCAGTTAGTAAATTATATGATTGGTTGTTACTGTCTAATTTGCTGAAGATTTGTGGCAGTGACTGAGCGATTACAACAGGATTATGTTGGACATTAACATCTGTCACCAGAATACTGTCATTCTGTTTCTTAAAGAATTGCCTGTGTGTTTTCTTCCTGAATATAGGATCCAAATCGCCTGTACTATGAGCCATGGGAACTGAGAATGTTTGAGAACATTGAGTGCGAATGGCCGTTGTTCCTCTGCTACCTCATACTGGACTATTGTTTCCAAGGGAACAAGAATGCTGTCACTGAATACACTGAAGCGCTGGAGGAGGCAAGTTTCTATCAGCAAAGGCTTCAGACTTCTTTCTTTTAAAGTTGTTTGTTCAGATTACTTCACTCTGGACAAACCACTTAACCTTTTCATCACTAAATCAGTAACTTCTTTGTTGATCTTATTTTTATGAAACTAATGTCTGACATAAGGTGCCATTAAACAAAATACTATACTATATTTGACTTACAGGACCATTAAAGTGATAAATCTTAAACAGTGGGTGCACAGTATATTAAACATGGTTTTAGAGCAAGGGCTGTCTAGTACCCACACATACAGGGTAATTCATGAAGTTTTACCCCAGCTTATGGTACATATTCCTGGGGTTATTTCCTGCAAAATTTCCTTATAAACTTGTGGTCGATTTTCAGTAGTTACGGAGTAACAGTAGATTTTCAAAATGCATCATTGTGAATGCAACGCTATGCTTCCCCATCTGGGCGACCATGCGTTCCAGTCAGCTGTATCAGCAGATAAGCTGACCGGCTGGAATGTTGCGCGTAGATAGGCAGAGCGATCCAGTAGTAAACAGGACGTTGTGTTGGTGACTTTGTGAAGTTAAGATACCGTACACATTTTCCACTGAGGAATATGCCGATATGGTGTTTGTTTTGGGTGTATGTGATGGAAATGTGAGAGCCGTTGCTGCCACATATCACCGGCGTTATCCTAATCGCAGGATTCCAAATCCTAAATCCATTAGCAGTACATTCAACACATTAAGACAAACTGGTTCTCTCCCCAGCGTTCGTATACAATACGAACAAAATCCTCAATATGAATTGTGCGAAGAAGAAAACATTCTCAATCCTGTAGAGCACAGCCCGCGTGCCAGTACAAGACGTCTAGCTCGGCAGTTCGGTGTTTCTCAGTCCATGGTGTGGAAGACTCTTCATGAGAACGGGCTGCATCCTTATCATTTACAGCAAGTACAACACCTACAACCAGGAGACTGTGCTCTTCATCTGTAGTTCTGCAACTGGTTAAATGGAAATCGGCAGTTGTACCGCTTGATAACGTTCTGTGATGAGGCACAGTTTACACGGGATGGGGTCAACAACAGTCACAACTTACATGTTTGGGCAGACAGTAATCCCCGTGCCATGATAGAATCAAATTTTCAACACCAATTCAGTGCCAGTGTCTGGTGTGGTGTTCTGTATGATCAGCTAATCGGGCCATTCATTTTTCCTGGCCGCTTAACTGGTGAGATTTACCTCCACTTCTTAGAAGAAGAATTACCACAGTAACTTGAAGATGTTCCTCTGGCAACAAGACGCTGGATGTACTTTCAGCATGATGGGGCGCCTCCTCACTTCTCCTGCACAGTAGCAGCTCACTTGGATCAGCATTTCCCACAGCGGTGGATTGGTCGCGGAGGCAGTAACGCCTGGCCTCCCCGGTCGCCAGATCTAACACCGTTATATTATTGCATTTGGGGCTGGATGAAGGACATTGTGTGCCAGGTAAAGGTACAAACATGTGAAGCGTTGCTTGAACATATTCTGGACGCGGCGATGACAATAAGGAACAAACATGTGGAACTGCAAAATGCTACAGGCGCGTTCATACGCATGTGATGCGTTGTGTTGATGTGCAGGGAGACATTTTTTAAAATCTTATGTAAATACAGTCGTCTTCTAAAGCACTACAGTTTAAAGGAAACAGATTGATAGAAGGGTGTGATATGCAACCATTGGTATGTTTACAGAATGGGAGGCTGAAAATAATGTAATTTTGTAACATAAAATCGATGAAAAATGTTGCACAATGCAAAAGTAAGAAATTGAAAAAAAAAATGGTTTTAGAATGCTTCTTTCCTAAAACATTAACAATTTAAAAAGTGTTTGTATTGTATTTCTAATTTGTTTTGACTGAAATTCAAAGAAAAAAAAAGTTTTCAAATTACTGTATCTCTTTAATTATGAGTTGGATACCATTAGTATATTAAAATTTTTTGTTCCAAATTACCTCAGGAATGCCCTCCCTAAGTGGGGGTAAAACTTCGTGAATCGCCCTGTATAATCTATTCTGGGTTCATTAGAATACACAAGAGAAAATACATGGTCACTGTGCAAGGGTTAACACCCAGTCATTTTAATGTAACTGTCTGTCTGAGGTCTGTGGTGACTTCTCCAATGCTTAATTATTTTCAAGGTTCTTTTCACACTCATTATCTGAGTATGGGTGTCCCTCATTTTATGAACACTAATTTTACAAATTTTTAATACAACAGATAACTTACGTTCATAAGAAGTTCTTTTACAAAAACAGAGAATTACATACACAAGACGTGCCAGATATTTCTCTCTGTAGTATTTGTGCATTGTATTTATCATAGCTGTTGTGCAACTATTCAGTTCTTTCACCTCCGCAGTTTGGAAGAGAGTCCAGCTTCTGTTCTGAATTATCTGATCACCCAGGAATATTTTATCACTTAATGTCCCTATTTTCTTTTTTAAGAATTGATTATTTTGGATTTGAGATTCCTATAGATTCCATGAAGGGTTCTGTCTTCTGTGATGTAATGCTGTGTAGTCTGGTAGTTTACCGATATTTCAGAAGAGCATACTGCTTCTCTCTTCAGGACCAAAAAGTAAGCCACGTAAGAAACCAGCTTGAAACAATCAGAGCAAATTTAAGTGTGGAACTGGCCTCTTAGTCTTTGCACTTCAAGAAAAGGTAGGGAATGAAGTAGCGCAGTGCTCTCGACTCGAAACTTTTTGAATCTGCAGACTACATGACATCAGAATATTGCATTGGAACATCATATTCTGTTGGATATACCGTATTTACGCATGTATAGGCTGCGTGCATGTATAGGCCGCAGCACAATTTTCAGACAGAAATTATAGAAAAAATAATTTTCTTGGAATATTATTTCAGGAGTAGAACACCCTGTATTACTAATTATGAATATAATTTTTTTTAAATGAAGTGTGATTTCGAATATAAGCCGCACCCCAGTTTTCCTCTTGAATTTTTGGCAAAAAATGTGCGGCCTATACATGCGTAAATACGGTATAACTATAGCTATGTTTGTTCACACAACACAACATATATCAGTTATAAATTTTGATTGGCTACATGTTTCATCTATCATGACATCACATCCCAGAAGATAGTGCTCTTTAAATATATTATTATTAATAATTTTCTAGTGGTAACTTTTTCAGAATAATTCAGCAATTTCTTGCAATTCAAACTATAGCTTGTCTGTCATCACACAAAGGCAGCTTTAGATTATATTTTGAAAAAAAGTATTTATTGTCTAGATCATGATACGAACTGAAGATGGGATGAAACTTGTGCCAGAATTGTATGCTGTTCCGAAAGATAAGGTCGCAGGAGAGTACCGTGAACCAGGTAGCCAAGAACGTGTTATCTTAGGACGATGTCCGTTTTTGTGGGCTCAGTCTCTTTACATACTTGGTAAACTTCTCCAAGAGGTAAGCAAAATTTATTGTATACTAAACATAAGATCACTAGCATGCTGAGTAACCAGTACCTAGGGCCGCGCCATAGCTCAAGTGGTTAGTTGCTGGCTTTCCACTGTGGCAGCCCGGGTTCGATCCTGGGTCTGGTCAAGTGGGATTTGTGGTGGACAAAGTGGCGCTGGGGCAGGTTTTATCCAAGTACTTCGGTTTCCCATGCCAGTCTTCATTCCACCAAATTCTCCATCATCATAATCACCTGGGGCAGGCTACAGTAGGCCAATCACTGGCCGCCATTCTGAGTGGACCCAGTTGGACTCCACCCCCAACTAAGCAAATTAACCAGTACACCTATATGTTCACATGATGTTCGCCATGGTCACTGCAAACATGCTATTATGTAAAACACAAAGATTGTTCCCAGTGTTTCTGGTCCCACCTATGGGTGATGTGGTATCCAAGTGGAACTGAACATGAAACTTAGGAGAATCATGACTGGAGGAAATTTAACACAGATTATTGACTTGGGATAATTTAAATTGAACAGTAAATGAGGGAAAAACTTAAATTTGGTTCCACTGTATACAGTTTACTAAATTATGTATTCTGCATATGACATCTAGAAACCAGTGAAGGAACTTTTTAGTAATGGATACAAGATGAATAGCGGTAACAGTTGTGACCACTTTTTGCCAAGCAGGTTTGTCTACCAATACTGCTCCGGACTTGTAACTGGAAGTTAGTTCAAATTTTAGCTGACACATTTGCTGGGGTAGTGCAGGCAGTATGACTGGCTATAGGCTGGACGGTTGAAGAGTCATAGTTCAAGTCCTGGTGGAGGCAAGATTATTCTCCCCCCTCCACTTCATCCAAGCCAGTTCTGAGGCTCACCCAGCCTCCTATCCAATGGATGTGAAGTGGCTGGGGCATGAGGCTGACCATTCTTCTCCATCTAGTGCTAAGATCAAGAATATGTGGATCTATACTTCCATCCTCCCATATGTCTTATTGCATAGTGCTTAATTATTTAAGCACAGAGACAATTTTATCTCTACAATTTACATTTTTGTTAGGGATTTCTGGCTCCTGGTGAGCTTGATCCATTGAATCGCCGGCTGTGCTCGGAGAAGAAGCCAGATGTGGTGGTACAGGTGGTCATCTTGGCAGAAGATAATGATATTCGTGAGAAGTTACGACAACACGACATTATAGTGCAGACTATTGATGAAGTTGCTCCAATCGAAGTTCAGCCTGCTAGAGTACTGAGTCATCTTTACACGTATCTTGGTAAATTAAACAGATTTTCTTTTTAACTCCTGATTTTAGGAATTATGAAAGACATTGGTTCCCAGACTGTGCTTTTCAGGATTCCGCAGAAGTTACGTGAATAGACTTCTCTAGTCACAAATGAAGTATTGATGCCAGCCGAGTCAGAACGATTTAAGCTGGACTTGAGGTTCTCACATTGGTGACTGTGAAGCATATTATCTCCAGGAATGTGACTCCATGAAGTCTTGTAGAAGTTCACCATACTACATGATGTCACATCCCAGAAGGTAGGTACCCTTCGTAGTCACTGCTGTGAGATCCTCAAATCCAACAGTATTATAATACTTACTGAAGAATTCTATAAAATTGAAACTGATTAGAGATGATATCTCTGGATTCCCTGGTACCATTTTCAGAGCACTTTGGAATTCACTGCCTTTTGCGGCTTAAACAAATTTGTTAAGTAACCACAGAAACATATAATTTTCTCTTAATTAAAGGTACTTTGTTGATGTCCGATGTTGGTCTGCAATCGTAGTTACAGCTGCATAACACTGAATGACACAGCGTTTTTCTTTTTCCCAGGTCGGAACAAGAAACTTGGACTGTCTGGTCGCAGATCTCGCGATGTTGGGATCCTCAGCACAAGTAAACTGTACTCTTTACATGATCGGGTGTTTGCTTTCACACCTCAGGTGAGTTCTGTCTGTCTTATTTTTGCGCATACGTACACACGTGGACATACATAGATCCACTATGACAGACAGACAGGCAGATGTGTATGTATGCAGTACTGGACCTCTTATCCTGAAAGTTTGGGGCCTGAGATTGTCAATAAAATGTTACTGTTGAATGTTTCAGCACTCCTGCTTTATATTTTGGAGAATCCTTGTTTGATTCTTGTCTCAGATGCTTTATGTTTTGAGGTATAGTTCCCTAACCCATTTACATTCATATAAGTGCATATATGCAGTGTTTTGAAAGTGGGTTTTTGCACCAAGAGCACATAAATGCCACAGGGTGTGTTTATTCACGTATTGTTTCTTCAAGTTTCAGTTGTTTTCATTGCCATGGCCTTATGTGATTCTTACACATGTTGTATTGATGTGTTGGAGAAATTTATAACCAGTACCATTAGAAGCTCTAGTTAAAAAGAGTTCTGCTTCATTTTGATAAATGTCTGCTGGTGGTACAGTCATTACCTAACAAAATGATCCAGGATGTGGGCAGGTTAAAATAGGTCATATCTGCTTCCTTTCATGCCCTTCTTATTGCAACATTCATAATCATTCTTCCATGTGATGCTATATGACCCATACAATTGAATAAGCATTGTTAAATAATCTAAGAAGCAAGCTAAGCTTTTTGGGGCTTTCTGTCTTAATTTTCTTAATTGTAAGTGCTCTGTGGTCTAGTGGTCAGAGTTCCTGCCTACAGATCCAGAGGTCCTGGGTTCGATTCCCGGCGCTGCCTGATTTTTTGAGAAGTAGTGGGTCTGGAACGGGGTCCACTCAGCCTCGTGAGGATAATTGAAGAGCTATTTCAAGGAAATAGCGACTCAAGTCTAGAAAATCCCGAGATTAATGGTCGTGGGTATCCGTTGTGCTGACCATGCAACACCCTCTATCTACAAAAGTTGACACTAACGTCACCGACAGGCAGCAGTTGCTCGGTCGGTATAGTTTGCCTGTGGACTACAGGCCATGGAGTAGGTGATTTCATTTTGCTCAGTTGTCTTGAAGATTAATATTTTGGATAATTACAATTTTCACTTCATGTTTAAGCACAGAACTCCACAGTTAGTTAACGTGTCTTGTTGATTTAAATGTTGGTTATATATTTTATGAAACCTCTTGCATGCAGTGCTGTAAAAAGTTTAAATGGTGGGGAAGAGATGAAAATGTAACTTTATTTTCCTTTTATTTCATAATTTATGCTCACCAAATGTGATTAAAAAATCAAGGAAGAAGAGATGAACAGGGATGTAACATGCATGAGAGAGACAAGAAATGGGTACAACATTTTAGTTGGAAAACCTGAAGGAAATAGACCACTTGGAAGACTGAAGCATAGATGTAAGGATAATATTAAAATGGATGATCTGGCTCAAGATAGGCTGTTGTGTACACAGTAATGAACCACTGAGTTCTATAGAAGTCAGAGAAGTTCTTGACCAGCTTAGCAACTGATAGCTTCTTAAGAAGGTCTCTGCTGTGTGCAGATAATTGGTTTTGGTTTTAATGTCTACTGAAATGTTGCTTTAGTTGACAGACTTGACTCGTTTCTACATCGCCTCTGATTACGAGTTGATGATTGACATTTTCAAGAGCGAATTGAATTTCCTGAAGTCTTCTTGGCAGAACATGTTAGGCCGACCTCTTGTCGTCATGGCAATGAAGAGCATTCATCTAGGTACATGGTGTGATGGTGTGTGCTTGGTTTTATTTTTGGGTCTTGCATGTTCCCTGCCTGTCTGATTGTCATGCTGCATGTGAACATATTACAGCACAGGATCATGGAATTGTGTTTGCTTTTAATAATATCTTGATAAAGTAAATGGAGAACTCTTCTCAGAAATTTGTAATTCATATTTCAAAACATATTTTGCTGCGGGAAGAAAGGGAGCCATTACGAAAAGTGGGGAGACGAACTAGTGCCCCTCCACTGGAGGTCTGAAGGACAAGGACTCCCTTTCAGAGTAGCAGACAGACAGTCATGAAACTTTTTTTGTGAGAGATGTGCCCTTCAATATTTAGCGTAGAAGATTTAGGCTGTAGGATCCACTGAAGCATTAGTAACTGTGTAGTCAGACTGCAAGGTATCATCACAGTAGTAATCTCATATGCTGCTGCCTCATTTTTCTTTATAAAAAATCTTAATCCCATAATATGTGTCTCTCTGTGCAGTTCGTGTCATAGCAAAGGATAGTAGATGATTAGTTCTTCCCAGAAGTTCTTGTTTTTTTTTCTAATAAAGCCCTAATCTCATATGTGTTTTGGGAAATCCTGCAAGAGAGAGATAGACCTAGGACTAGCATACTGGACACACCATTTCCTGGAAACACATGGTAGGGGTACTATCAGTCACAGTCAGGAAATGTCTTCATGTTAAGAGAAATATCATCACAAGGAAAATGAAGACATATTCTGTATTCTCTTACTGAGCAAGATTGATCAAGAAATATTGCTTCTGGCTTGTATTTAAGAGGTGACTGGTTTGAATCTCACTGATTATGCTGCATAAGGGTTTTCTATGATTTTCCTCACTCCCTCTACACAAGTACTGGGATAGTACCTTCAGTTAGGTTGTGACTGCTTCCTTCAACATCAGTTCCAATTCATTATTCACTGTCGTTGATTCATTCAGTGCTATATGTAGTCTGTGTATCTGATAGTATTGCGTAAACCTCACAAGTAAAATGCAACAGTATTAATTTAACAATTTACACTTAATTCACCAATGTTCGTCAGATGTTTAAAATGTCATTGAAATTATTAAAATATGTGTACATTTGGTGTTTATGCTACATGTTTCAGTCACATAGGGCCATCTTCAGTCAACATATCTTTTAAAGGAGTCTGCACTGTGCACTTGGTCAAATGGTACTCATTAAGACACGTCGTTGTTGTTGTTATTAATTTTTTTAATTCTGGTGTTGTGGAATGATTTTATAGGATGATTTTCTTCCTATTTTACATATTGCAGCTGTCTTCATATCCCATTGGGCATGCCGCAATCTGTAAGATAGGAAGAAAATCATGCTATAAAGTCATTCTACAGCATCATAATTCAAGGAAATTAATATTGACAATGGTAACGTGCCTTAATGAATACCATTTGGCCAAATGCACAGTGCAGTACACTCATTTAAAAGATCTGTTGCCTGAAGATGGCCTTGTGCAGCTGAAACATGTAGCATAAACACCAAATGTACACATATTTTAATAATTTCAATGACATTTTTAAACATTTGATGAACATTTAGTGAATTAAATGTGAATTAATGTTGATACATTAATATTGTTGCATTATAGACCGGAAACAAGACTATAAGTTATACCTCAATGCAACAGGATCCTGATTATGATATCTTGTTACACACTTATACACCTTGTGGTTCATATTGTGATCTTGTGGGTTGTGACACCATTCAGTCTGGTAAGTGGGTATCAGCATTTTGGAGGAGCATGCTGCTTCCATATTCGGTGTAGACAATATAGGCAATAGGTTCCTTTGTAACCTTTGAACCCGCCTGCCAAACTACACAGTCACATAACCCAGAAGACCACAATATTTATCTTTGTCGCTGTAAAAACCTCAGATCTTACAACTCATTGTTTATTAAAGAAGCAAATTTAGCCAGCTTTATATTGTTTTGATCAGAAGAATTTTTAAATGAACATATTCTTGTCACCTGATAGGTGAACATTTACTACATGCCAGGGCCAATCCTCTCAAGAGATGGACTGTTGCCATTGTGTATATAAATGTAATTTTCTCCTACATATACCACTTGAATGCAGGTAATCTTTAAGTGTAACTTTGTCAGAACCTGAAAGTTTCAAAACATACAGAAGTTGTCATTTGTTTTTTTCACTTTTTCTCGCCCGTTTCCATTTTGAGCATGTAAAGTTCAGAATATAGTTGGCATGAAAAATGGCTGGTCCAGCAACAGGTAAAATCCCAGTATGGAGGCATAGTGCTTGAATGTGTCAACTTCATATCAGAAATCACGATATAAACATTTAATCTAAAACGAAATTTCTGTCAGTTTTGGGTTTTTTTCTTCCGCAGACAGGAAGAGTTGGCTGAGAAGTTTTTCAAATCTTTCTAGATCTAAAATTTGATAGTACTGTTTCTACCCTTAGATTTTGGTTAATTAATGAATGCTGATGGTATTTACATTTCAGTTTTGTTAGTTTTGGAATTTGGTAAAAAATTCCCAACCTTGAGAAGGGCTGTTCTGTTGAAACTAATGCATGGTGGCTTGTTTCCTTCTCTTGCTTCTTGTGTCTCTCGCCATCAACATCAGAATGTCGATTTGGATCAGTATTACACAATAAATGACATGGACCTCCTAGTCAACAATTTCAGCAGCGATCTTGCTTTCCTAACGATGAACTGGCATCACATGCTTGGAAGACCAACTTTTACGATGATTGCACACACTGGCATGATAGGTAATGTTGGTTTAACAGATCACAAGAATGCATATATTTTAGTAGCTGGGTCGTAGTAGCATGTGTTGTCTGCCATCCCGTATCTTATGAAGTGTTCAGAATGATCTTGCTTACAATGTAGAAGCTCTTTATCATTATGCACTAGTCTTGTATTGTGATAAAACATGTCTATCCACCTCACAAATACGAGGGGGTACCCAAAAGAAACCGAACTTATTTTTTTTTAAACTTATTTATACAAATTTTAAGCACAAACCTTCAATACCCTTCAAAGTACTCTCCACTTACACTAATACACTTGTCTAGTCTTTTATTCCATTTTTCAAAACATTGTCTAAATTCATCTTTTGAGATGCTTGACAGCGCCTCCGTCGTTTTTTTCCTTCACCTCAGCAACATCAGCAAAACGCTGAAAAAAATTTTTGATCATTTCGGGACCCTTCTTTCAAAGCACAGCATGCTTCCATGCGACCTTGTTTTTGTTCAGCAGTCAGCAGTCGTGGCACGAATTTCGCAGCCACCCTTTTCATTCCCAAATCTTCTGTCAAAATTCGCTGAACTGAGCTCCAAGTCACTCCNGGTACCCTATCGTGCGTCCCATAGTCCATGGCTTATATATCTTGGTGCAAATACCTGCTGAGATCATAATATTGTCGCGTGTTTTGCGTTACTGATCCCACTTCTGACACCAGTTGTCGCGTATCGGGGGTATATCGCGACAAATAAATTCTCGATGTATTCGGTGTAGCGAATTTTATTTCACACTCGCTCTCACACTCACCCAAATTACAATCTGACGATTACTGCTATCTGCAGTATCACAATTAGTACAC